CACACCCACACCCACACACCCACACCCACACCCACACCCACCCATACACACACCCCACACCCACACCCACACCCTCAACTTACATAGCCTGTGAATATTTTAAGCCCTATCCTATTTCATTTCGTTGAGATATTACAAAGACAAGAGGAAAAAACGTGATTCCGTCACGCTTGGACAAACCGTATGGTAAGTATATTTTATAGACTTTTTTTTACTGTTTTTATTGGAAATACGACTTTTGTATCATTTTATTTTATTGTGTACATGTGTTTTTATTTTTTTTAAATTTTTTTATTGTATACACTTTTTTTTATTATTTTATTTTATTCTGCAGATTTTTTATTTTATTTTATTGTTTTATTTTAGAGACGTTTTTCTTATTAGTTTTTTATTAATAAAGTAATCAGAAAAAACGTCTTAGAATAAAATAAATAAAATAATAAAAAAATTTCTATACAGTAAAATAAAAAATAGTAAAAAAACAGTATACAAAAATATTAATTCTATAAACATTTTTCTTATTTTTTCTTTTTATTGTATCTACATTTTTTCCTATTATTTTATTTGACTTTATGATATAGATATTTTTCTTATTATTTTACTTTATTCTATAGATGTTCTATTATTTTTTGCATTATTATATAGACTTTTTTTCTTACCATTTCTTTCATTAATAAAAAAAATAACTAGAAAAAGTCTATATAATAATGCAAAAAATAATAGAACATCTATAGAATAAAGTAAAATAATAGGAAAAAATGTAGATACAATAAAAAGAAAAAATAAGAAAAATGTTTACAGAATTAATATTTTATATACTTTATTTTTTATTTTACTGTATAGACATTTTTTTATTATTTTATTTATTTTATTCTAAGACGTTTTTTCTGATTACTTTATTAATAAAAAATTAATAAGAAAAACGTCTATAAAATAATTATTGTATATTCGTTTTCATTTTTTTTTTCAAATAAAATTCAATTTTTTGCTAACTAATTCGGGCTTCAAATCATAAAAGCACAGGAAAAATGGAGAGACAGGGAGGGGGTTAGTCATCACCAATGGTTATTGGCTGACTGCTAGCGACATAGAATGGACCAATGAAATTATTAGAAAAATGAAAATGACACGCTTGTGACACAACGACCGTACATGTGTCAACACACTATGACACTCGTTACGTACATGTGTCGACTAGACATGTGCGGGACCGGGACCAAAAAATAGAATTTTACCGGGACCGGGACCAGGATCGAAAAACAATTTAGTCCCGGTCATGTTTGCCGTTGATAAGAAACATCGGTGGAAATAGAAGTGAGAACTGCTCCGGATCTAAAACCGGCAGATTCTGCAACGACTTCTCTGACTATGGACAAATAACAGAAAAAGTAAGGTTACTTAGACTGGGTGTAGAACAAAAACCAAATTTAACACATTCGACGCGATTCGGTTTTATTAAAGAGTAGCTCTAGAGATTCATTTTCGTCTGCATTCATCTTGCGATAAATGCACTGCTTAGTCTTTTCATCCTATACTGATCTGTCGTTTTCTCTTTTCCATTTGTAATATCACATGTAGCGAAGTAACCATCCTGTAGTTTGGCGAAACTCCTGTGAGGTCATTTCAGCATGACATGCCATTCGAGAAGTTGAATCAGCATTCCAATTCAAGCGCGAATTCACTAATCGCAAGCTCGAAGAAAAGGAAGGATTTAAGGGCAATGTCCGCAGACGCTGTACTGGCTGCTTTGCGAAAGCAAGGGCACAACAGTCAAGAGAAGCGAGCTATGCGGTAGCAAAGAAAGTAAAAACGTTCTGTTGTGAGTAACAATTCTTTTTGCCTTGATTTTTTTAACAAGACCCATCATGCTATGGAATAACGGACTCAAAAAGAGTTCTGAAGGCAGAACAGATAAAGCATTATGTTCAGCCTCCTGTCTAAGAATAAAGAAAAATAAAGTACTTTTCTATACAGTTTCTCGTTAAAATGTAGCGTGGCTCACTGTTAGGCCACATCGTAGCGAATGTGTTAACGGAGCCCAGGACTAAAAAACAGAATTTCGCCGGAATCAGCAGCAAAAGGGAAATTTCCACCGGGACCGGGACCGGGACCAAATGAAAATTTTCACCGGGACCCAAACCGGGACCAAAAAAAAATTTACCAGGACCGGGACCGCACCGGGACCAAAATTCAATTTCACCGGGACCGCGACCGGGACCAAAAAAGTTGGTCCCGCACATGTCTAGTGTCGACACACTATGACACTGTTGCAAAACGTGACGATACTTCATGTGTCATTCAATTTGTGTCGACACATGTGTCACTAGCGTGTCCTATCGACATGGGAACACTTGAATACCAACCACAACAAAACCAACTAAATACTAATAACAAAGAATAATGAACATCTAGAGACAACAAAGAATGAAAAAGTTTATTCAGTGAATCATCACACTGCATTATGACTTGCTCACCCCTTGCAACCAATAAAAAAAATGCATGATAATATCTGAGTTACGAGTGACATCTAGTTGTCGTGTAATCACCCTCTTTTTTTCTTGGTATATCTCATCGAAAAAAATCCGCTGAACTTAATTTTAAAAAATTATATCAATTCTTTCCAACCGAACCGAACCTAACCGACCGAATTTTTAAAAATTTCTAACCGAACCGACCGTAACCGAAAAAATCTCTAATCGAACCGATCCCATCTCTGTAAGGGATGCATCACTGTGAACGCTACATATTTTTCGATTCAGGATGAATTATCATATATTTGTTCAGATTTTCGCTAATCGATGCAAATTTTGCAATAAACTTATTGAATATATAATATTTCATTTTGTCTTGTGTATCTGTAACGTAAAAAGCTACCGATTATCATTTTCATACATTCAGTGGCTTTAGTAGAATAAAAATACTTTAATTAAAATTGTGAAAACTCGTTATATTAGGTAATAAAATCAGATACACATCGAAGTCAAACCAAACAGCATTAATAAAGGTGTTTTACACTTCTATTGTTACGGATACGAAGTATTTATGTTTCGTTGATACAAGCAACCGAAAAGGCTCAGATGCAATTTAGCGATTGAAAACTAAACTAAAATACTATTTTCGCATTCCTATTTCGGCAACGCAGAATTGCAAAAATTTTTCTTACTAAGGACGGTGGTCACAACTCACGTCAGTCGCACGGCTTACATCTCTACAGCCTGCCAATCACGATTCCTACTTCCATTTTTACCGAATAAGTGCGAACACCATCTTTTTTTTAAGATTAAGAAAGAATTCAAAAAATGATGGATAAAACTAGATCTAATATTTCGTTATTTAATCAGCGCTTTCTGTTCACTTAACAAGTTATGATTCTATATTTCATATTTTTGACCTAGATGAGACAATAAATATACAGACTGTAATATATAGAACTTAATAAATAATTGCTACATTTCATAGCATGCTGGTCGATTTCTATCTAAGACTACGATTTCAATCAAGATATTTTCGCTAAGAAGAAAATTCTATCGAACACACATGACCAATATTTCAAATCAGTTGGAATCGAAATTCGAGTAATACTAAATATCAGTTCATTATTCTGAAACTCGTCTATGATTACAAACCGGTGTTTTATAAGTGTACGAAATCATAATTCATTCGAATATTTCGTCGTGTGCAGTATGTGTTTTTCAGATTTTTTGATTGATGACTGACTTTAGATTGTTTTTTCACAATGATGCCTACAGAAAACTTATCTAGATTTTCATTCAATTGTGCTGACTGAGTTCACAAAAATTCATTGGCGCGAAATTTATTCGAAAAATTTGCAATAAAAAAAGTAATAGAAATTTTTTAACAGAGTTCTCAACAGACTGAAAATTAAAAAGTATTATTTTCTAAAATGTTTATTGCACTTAAAATTGATTGTGTTAGTATCGTAAAAAGTAAAGTGGACTCTGTAGGTTTCTCGGAAAGAATTGATTTTAAGTGGAAGACAAAGTAACAACCGAAATAGTTCTTTTCAACTTATTTTCATGAAACTCCGTGAATCTAAGTTTTAATTTTGAGAAGAAATTTTCTATCAAATGCTGTATGCGTCAGAAAAACATACACTTTGCTCATCTGCCTATTGGTGATGACGACTTTCGTGTTTTTTAAAAACGAATTCCCTAAATAAATCAACATTCACTTGTTCTTTTTTTTATAGTTCAAACTTCAATAAAAGAGTGCACACTAGAATAAAAACAGTTCAATTATTTCCATTGCAAATAGATGTTGTCATCTACAGATGTAATTGTAAAATGGTTAAGTAATTGCCCTTGATAAATCATTTCTTCTAATTTTTGAATAATTTCATCAGATGCGGTTGGCTTACGAATACATAATGAACGAAGATATTGATTACGATCCTTATTAATTTTCTTTAAAATATTTCTAATAAATAATTCAATATCCATATCATTAATAAAATCGACTTTAAGATGTGTCATACGAGGACAAAGTCTCATAAGAAAATAAATTTCGTCAATTGCAGACATTTTTTCCAAATAAACTTTTGTAATATTAATTTTCTTGGACACAAAATGAAAATTTTTATCTTTGATAGATGGATATTCGAATTGTGATTGTATCAATGAAGTTATTTTTAATGAATCAAGTGAAGATAATTTATACGTTAGTTTGATTAATATATTAAAACAAATAGTTTCTTTAGTAATTTCCAAATGATAAATCTGTGTGACTAGTAAAAGATCACGAATAATTAAATGAAATACCATCATATGATCATCATCGGGTAAATCCACAAGTGTAAGCCTAGTAGATTTTGAAAGTTCAATCGAAGAATTAACATCATACCATCTCTTTCTGAAAGATATAAAAATATATAACCCTATATTATGATAAGTTCTACTTGTATGAACAAATTGAATAAACATAATTGAATGAATCCATTTCAACTTCGAATGTCCATTTTTTTTCAAGCCAAAATAATGAATTACATTGATCAGGAGGTTTAAAATCTGTTATAGATCCAGATTCAGGATCAATTGCTTGACGATATTCTAAATAGAATTCTTTTAATTCAATTAAATAATTACAGATCAATTTCTCCCATCGATTACTATCAAGATAATCTCTATCTTCAGACAAAGCATTAATATGTAAATCTTTTAAATTACATTTCGTTTTCATAATGAACATTTCAAATTCATCAAATCTTATATAAGCCATTTCTATTGCAAGATAAGTTAAATTAGGACAACTAAATGAAAATATAAGTTCATGATGTGAATAATTTTCAGTTAAAGCCAACAAGTTTAAACGATAAAGTTTAGGTGTATAAGATAAAAGAATACAAAGTTCATTTAAAGTACAATCATGATTAATAATAAGATGTTCAATAGTACTAGTTTGTTCATCGGTAGCAATTGGCAGCAACTTAGGGCCAATACTTGAGAATGCTGAAATAGTAGCATATTTTAATTTTGGTAAAACCAAAATTAAACGATAAGCTTCACTTAAATCTGTTGATAACAATTCTGTATCGATGGTTAATGAGAAAAGACGAGGTAAACAAGATAAATTAGTGAGAAGTGACATGAGTATAGCTGGTGAAAATGAATTAAGAAAAACTGATTCAAGATGATTAAATGATGAATCGATTGATAATGATGAAAAAAATTCACATTTTTCTCTTGGTAAGCATATACGAAATGAAAGTATTTGATGTTTGTTATTAAGTAGAAGTTGTTCATAAATATTCATATTTAATTCGATAAGTTTTGAACAAAGTAAATCAAGGTTAAAAAGAAAAGATGAAGAATTAAGAAGTTGTGTAAAACGATGATTGAGATTTGAAAATGCTTTAAATGTTTTAAAGCCATCGAGATATTCGAATATTTCATAGAAAATCTCATTGGAGAAATCTTCGATTATAGTTATCGACATGTTCGATGAAAATCTTATGATCTAGAAAAAAAAGAAGAAATTAAAATTGTTGATGAATCATTGATCATTCTTGTTTGTTTATTTTCACAATCATTTCGATATATGCTTTTCGAACAGTTATCTTCACAAATCAAAGAATGTCTCAATTCGTTTTTCTACATATATTTCGACTAATGATAAAAGTACACATAAGTGTGTTATATCAGAAGATGTCTCTCATGGTTATAGCCTGTCAAGTTCAAGAATTTTTGGATTGGCGGTTGAATGATTAGAATTTATTTGAAGGTCTGGAATCGAGTCGTACATTACAAATTCTTTAGGAAATTTTATAGTTCGAATCTGATTGTTCCTCAAAAAAGCTTAGACAACGAAACAATTTTCATCTATAGGAGAAGGTTCAGAATTTTTTCCCGATGAGGAAGAGAAACAGAATTAAAAGGAAGCAAATATCTAATTTTAAATGCATTTCTGGATTTGTTGATTTCAGATTTTGGACTCTAATGGTATGTTTCATCGTAATACTAACTTTTCTAGTGGATGATCAACATTAAAGTCCATCGGGCCCTATCCTGATAGGAAAGTTTTTATTAATGGAATCCGCATTGGGAAAACTTCTGCTTCTGGTCGACAGTTGAAATCAGATAAGAAAATTTCTTTAAGATTTTTCAAAGTACGACTCGACTCTAGATCCTCAAATAATTCATCATTCAGACGCGGTTACAAAAATGCTGACCGACCGGGTCCAAGCATTCATGGACCCAATGGACTCTAATCCGCTGCACATAAAGTATGGAACCTATTCTAATGTAAATAGAACAAGTAGAACTAAGAAATCTAGTCACGAACAAAAAAAGAAATGTTTCTACTGTTTTATTTCAATCAATCTGTTTTTTGTTTATATGTAGACTATTGACATGATTCAAGATGATCAACTAATATCGGGTATCACAATACTCAGGACTACTTATCAAAGGCATGTAGCAGTCTCATTAATCCATCTTAATCTGAAACTTTTTTCTTATTATTTTTAGAGAGATGTACTTTGACAGTGAGTCGCGAAAAATTTGATCTGCCACAGGATGTCCGTTCATCTCTTACTTTAAAATCTTTTATAAAATTGAAGAGAGTGGTGATCGAGATACGAGTGGTGTGGATGTTCATTAGTGATTGATCTATGCTTCGATGTATTCGCCCACTGATAATCATGCAGTGAACAGCAAACTGGATCATTGGTTCTTTCAATCATGGGAGTCATAGAATTAATAGTTTTTGTATACATCACTGAAGTTTCATGTTCATAATCTATGCTGCCTCCATTTTTGGATACATTCCTGAAAAATACGGCTTATCGTTTCGAAAACTGCGAATCAGTGCTGCAAATATTTTCCCGTATACTCGATGTATTATATATATCTGCCATGAAATCATGATTATTCAAGGTCTTCAAGCAGGTTATCATCAATAAATTGTTTTCAAGTTTTGAACCCTTGCCGATACAAACAATAAAGGTGAGAATTAGAACTGTATTTAACGTTTTAGTACGGAATTCATCTTTCGAGGTCTATGATTCCGATCACTGAAACGCGCTGGTACCTGCGGGAAACGGTTCATTTGGGTGTGGGTGTGGGTGTGGATGTGGGTGTGGATGTGGGTGTGGGTGTGTGGGTGTGGGGTGTGTGGGTGTGTGGGTGTGGGGTGTGTGGGTGTGGGGGTGTGGGGGTGTGGGGGTGTGGGTGTGGGTGTGTTTAGAAGTACATGAAGGAAAGACCCACACCTACGCCGACAGCCACACACACCCCACACCCTCAGCAACACGCACACCCACACCCAATTCATAAAGAAACAAATAGGCTCATTATGAGTGATTGGCGAAATCGCCGAGTTCTTCGCTGGTCGCGTCGTAAAGGAACGACACAGGGTGAAATTCTAGTCAACAACATCAGTTGTCGAGGATTGGCCATGGATAATGAGAGACGGCTATACGTCTCGGAAAACGAAACACACGAAACAAGACGATATCAGATGGAAGGAAACATAACGAAAGGAGAGCTTATTGTTGGTGGAAATGGGCGGGGTTCTAGTCTCAATCAATTCAATGGTCCACTTTTCATCTCTGCTGATGAGCAATACACCGTCTACGTGTCAGATCACTTCAATCATCGTGCAATGAAGTGGAATCGAGATGCTACAACGGGTATTGTTATCATCAGAAGCCAGGGGAAAGGTGAAGCTCTCACACAATTATCACATCCTGAAGGACTTTATGTTGACAGTTCTGGTACTCTCTATGTAGAAGAATCAAGAAATAATCGAGTAACTCGTTGGTCGAAAGGCGCAACACATGGTACTGTCATTATCGGTGAAAATGCTCGATTAAATTGGTCAGCAAGTTTGTGCTTTGATCGTCAAGGCAATATCTACATTAGTGAAGGTAGTCTAGAATGGCCTCACCGCATTCATCGCCTTTCTATTCAAGAAAACGCCACGTCTCAGTGAAATAAGAACTCTTCTTCGACTATTTGAAGCGTATACATTAATGCATGATTAAACACGATCTTGGGAAACACCATGATGAATACGAATGCGTCAATACATGAGGGAAGATTGGTTTATTTTGTAGTCACTTTTTTTTTAGTTGTCTAAGAATGAGGGTAAGGATGAGGAGCACTATGAAGTATAAGGTGCAGTTTTGTAAAATTTTGCTTTTTAAAGCTCAATAAGTTCAAACAAAACATGAGTCAAAACCTCGATTTTCCATGACAATTAGTAAACAAATATGAATACAGATGCTTGCTTTCGTTCATCTAAAATTAGATGAGCACGTCATATTTCATATATTAAATAAGTTAAGACAAATGTAACGACTAACATCGTATTTGGTAGAAATTAATAATAAAAAAGTTTATATTTATTATTATAGATTAATCGCATGAAAATTATTATAAATTATCTTTCGTGATGTAAAATTCAATATTGTCAACTATGCAATAGTTTCGAATACTTGTGCTAGATTGAGGATATCTTATGAACACAACTTTGAGTTGAACTCTATGAATACTAGTTAGTACAGAATTTGATATAATTAGACGTTGCATCGATCCTGTAGTTTTTGTTGCTAAAGTGGAAAATCGTTCAAAGAATTAGAAAAACATTGATCGCCAACTTACATTCATAGACTCCTTGATAATTGACGTCATTTGCATTTGCAAACAGGAGCTCAATATGAATGTATTGATTGCCCCAACATTCAGTATTAATGGATAAGTTGTATCGGGCGATACCAGCTGAAATGAGTAACGTATAATTAACCAAAGAAATATTTTGAGACATAGATACAGCATGTTTTAAGTTATAAGATGGTGCCACAGTGAAATAGTATTGGCCTAAATCATACGAGGAATTTGTGACATCGTACGGCACAATACTTATTATTCCAGGAACGGAGACATGCCAACCAATGAAGTGTGTACTATTGCTTTTTGTTGTCTGAAATGAATATAAGTATGAGTAATAATATGAATTAATGGGTGGGGCAAAAATTTTGCATTAATTTTGTTCCCTAGTTATATCATTATTTGCCTTTTCCTTTCTCTAATGTGTCTCTCATACGTGTTAAATTTCGATCTAATAAAAAGTCTCAATAGAAAAACCAGAATGGCAACACATATCGTGTAAAATTTCCATTTTTCAATGCCTGATGTTCTTTTCAAACAAAAAACTCCCTATATCAGACGAAAGTAATGATACCTCAAGAAACCTATCGGATTTCATTTCTTTATGTGACAATGGATATCTATGCTTACATTGTCCTCGGCATCACCATTGATAACTAGATTTACTGTTCGAATAGGTCCCCATTGACCATCTGGCAAAATAGCATTATATAATATCGATCTTTCTAATAAATCTGTTGATATGATGGTTCCAGTTAAATTGGCATTTGTAAAATCAATAGTCCTATATAACCACTTGGCATTAGTAAAATTAGATTCAACCAAAGATGCTCCAAAGAAACTAACGACAGAAAGTCTTGCTCCATTGAATGTTGCTCTATCTAGAAAAGCGGACGTAAAATGCGGGGTGTGGGTGTGGGTGGGTGGGTGTGAGTGGGTGGGTGTGGGTGTGGGTGGGTGTGGGTGTGGGTGTGGGGTGAGTGTGTAGGTGTGGGTGTAGGTGTGGGTGTGAGGGTAGGGGTGTGGGTGCGATTATTGCCTTTCTCTCCCCACACCCACACCCACACGCACACGCACACCCACGCCCACACCTGCACCCACACCCATACCCACACCCACATCCACACCCACGCCCACACCCACACCCACACCCACACCCATACCCACACCCACACGCACACGCACACGCGACCCACACCCACACCCGCACGCACACCCACACCCACACCCACACCTACACCCACACCCACATCCACACCCACACCCACACCACCCACACCCACGCATCCACACCCACACCCACCCCACACTCACACTCACACCCCACACCCACACCCCACACTCACACCCACACCCACACCCACACCCTCTTCTGGAGAATTAAATTCTCTACAAACGCCTCTATAGCATATGGAGAGAATCGATTTCCATCTGGGTGAGAAATTCCAAACAATAGGATTCGTCACCCCTCAAAATGGAAAAAAATTTGAAAAAAAAAATTTTTTCAAAAGAAACTATCCATTGCCCGGAGATCAGGGCTATCTCCTCTTGTGGAGATTTGAATTGTCTGCTAAGGTCTTTGTCACTTATAGAGAGAATCGAATTGTTTCAGGAGAGTGTTCTTTTTTTGTTTATTCGAAGTACTTGTTTTTTTTTGTTTGTGTGAATCCTTTTATTTTATATCGGTTCCTATGTGCTGCCATTTTGATTGCATAAACCCTCAAAACGGTGCTTTTCACTATGGTGAATTTTTCATTGGTTGATCTTCATAACGAATGAAAGTTGTGTCTCCGTCGTGCTAGCTCGTCGCGTTGTGGTAGGTTGTCATCGATTCACTTGACTTCATTTATATATATTTGTGATCATCTTCAGTTATGAAGTCAAGGGAAAAATCGAATCTAATTATCTTCATCATGCAGAAAGAAACAATATTATAGATAATCATGCTATTTCATAAAATAGCAAAACAATACATTATCATTGATCGATCAGTTCCTTATTCTGATGAAAAATGTTGGGATTATTAACCTATGTTTTTTTTCTAAGAGACTCTCTTAATAAGAAATATGATCATCAAAACGGCTCTTATGACAAATAGTAAATCGGTATTACATATATATCCATCAGATAGGTTGATGGACATGAATTAATCAAACGAGACTTTATTTTATCAAACCCAGCATGATAAAATGGATGATGGTATTGAATGAAGAAATTATATAGAGAAAAATAAATATAAGGCGAATTTTCTTTTCTATTACGATGTATTTCATATCGAACCATAGAAAAATTTCTTGAGTAGTAAAATAACCTAAAAACAATTTTAAATAAATATATACAATGACAACAACAAGTATTCAACATACGTTGCATATATTAATTTGATGCAACGGAGAAATTTGAGTAAATTGACTAAAGGTATTTTTATTTCTCATAATAGTGGAAGCTAAATATTCATTGGAACCTTTGAAATAACATTTGTTTAATCGTCGAACAATGTTCAGATAGGTTTTCAAAAAAAAAAATACTTCTCCATCTAACTCGACTCAATATAATAATGGTATAATGAGAAAAAAATTCTCGAAAAGAAATTCGACATTTTTGAGAGAGAATTGGGTGTGGATGTGGATGCGTGACTTGTCTTCGTCTATACCCACACCAGAGATATCCATGATGGCGCCGTCGCCGCGATAATGTTGTTAAAATAGTTCTCGCGACGCTGCTGCGCCGCGATGGTTATTCAAAAAACCTGCCATTGCCGCGACTTCGCCATCACAGCGGCAACGGTAGCGCCGCCATGGACATATCTAGTGTGGGTATAGACGAAGACAAGTCATATACCCACATTCACCGTCATAATTTTCTCCAAATATCTTTCTTGAGTTCTGTTAGAAAGAGCATGCTTGAAAACATAGAGAACTTCCTTTAGAATGGCCTGAAATCTGTCTAGTTCGAAGAAGCGAAACAATTAGCTTTGTAAAAAAAAAACAAGTGGTTTTGAAAGTGAACCTTTGGAGTAAGTATTAGTGGCTACATATGGTTTTCCCATTACTCTTTTGAAAACCTCTTTCACTGAGTTTTGTAGAGAATTTCAAGAACTATCGTTTGAAAAAAAAATTCAAGTCAAAGTATCAACAATTGAGATGCAAATTCATAAAATACTGTGAAAGTCATTCTTTATGTGTCACCTGTTGTGTTACGAAAAAAATTGACAAGCATATGAATGCTAACTTTAACGGCGTTGATATTCTTTTCGTGATGTAGACATACAATGATCAAAAGCTGCCAAATAAAGATATCTGTCTGCAAAACTTGAAACTACTTCTACCATAAACGAACAAAGACGACAGAAAATAAACTTTTTGTATGTTTCAATAGAAGGGCAAAGAGAATACTACTAAATAGCGTGTGGACTAAATAGTAGAGGCCGAATAATAATTTAGTAAAAATATTAATTGAGCAGCGATTAGTACGAAGAGAACTTTGTCTAAATGTGAACATAGTAAGTATGGCACCAATCGATCTAACAATGAAGAGTATTTCAGCATCATGGAAAAAAGTAACAAATGAAAAAGTAACAAATGGAAAGAGTAACAAATGAAAAAGTAACAAATAGAAAAGTAGCTAATGGAAAGAGTACTAAATGGAAAGAGTAACAAATAGAAAAGTAACAAATGGAAAGAGTAATAAATGGAAAGTGATAAATGAAGAATCAATGTACGTATTTTGATATCATCGAGCCAGTTCTCATCCATCGAGAATGAATAGTAAGCGCTGCTAAGATCCCAGCTAATGTCAAAGTATCACTACGTAAAGACCAATACAATGTTGAATCAGTTGTTTCTGTATATAATTTTATTAAATCGATCAAAGTAGCAAATGCAACCAATGAGAGAGAACTCATCATCAACATAGATAAGCTTACTAAAACAAAGAAAATAAATAAAAATATTTGTGTAAATTAAAAAGAATTTAAGCCCCTCTGCTTCCCTCAGAAAAACCATTTTTTTCAAAAAATAGTCAAGTCGAGTTTTTATCATAGAAAGATGTAGCGAAGTTTCCTCTCTCAGCATATATATGACTTTTCAAAAAAAAGGTAAAATTTTCACAGACTTTCGGAGAAAATTTCCATCCTACTACTCTGTTTTTCCAGAGATTTTACTGTTTGTTATATTTTTGGAAAAACTGTCTTTTTACTTGAATTAGCATTGAATAAACATTCTTATATAACTTAAGTACGACTTATGGTGCTAGTTCACATCATCTGTTGCGTGCTTTTAAAAATTCTACTAAATATATAATGAATATGTCATTTTTTCTGGA